CACCCTAATACATAGATTGTTGTTCCCATAAAGCAATCCCTTTTTGTATACTGAGTGAAATAATTCTAGATGTAGCATAGACATTCTAATATGCAGTTGAGGCAAATTCTTAGTCATGATGTTATTTTTGTAAATGCTCATGGTTTGCCCTGTGAGGCTGTAGGAAATTACGATGGCAAAGATAATTCACAAGAATACTGTTTTTAGCAGTTTATAATTTATGTCTCACAGGTTGTATTGTTTTATAATGCTATTGCCATCATGTAAAATTACCATGTAATTTTATCATGTAAAAGTACCATATTAATAGAGATCATCTTTTAAAATACACACACATATATGTGTGTGTGTGTGTGTATATATATACACACAGAGAGAGAGAGAGAGGGAGAGTTCATTTTTGAAGACCCAAGTAAAGCCAGTGGCATATGCATGTTTATGTAAAAATGGAACATGTTTTAATAAGGTTGAATTCATGTATACTTTTTATTAACTTATGTGTCAAACTGAACCATATATAAAAAGTTAAATATCAATTTTAGCAATGACATCACTTATATACACTTATGCTTTTGGACTGTAAAGGACAAGTTCTATAGATAAACATTAATTTTAGTTCAAAAGTAACAGAGTTATACCTTATTAGTATGCATACATATGTGTAATATCTTTTATGGGTCATCCAAGTTTGAACTGATGGATAAAGTAGTAAGTGAAGCTGTGGGAAAAATTTAAGGTCCAATGAAATGTAATGCATTGTTTTCTCATATTAACTATGTCAGATATTAGTGACATTCTATTTTAGTATTGCTGATAGTATTGCTGTATTGGGACTATCTTTCTGTAAAGTATATACTTAAATAGAAGTGTGATCTGTGCCATCACAGCATTCAGCTCCCATCTATGGGTAATGCTTTGTTTTCAGCAATGTGGTGTAAAAACTGAAGCTTAAAGTAAAATGCTTTGAAGTGAAAAGGATTCCCAATGTTATGACCTGCTGTGCTATTACTTTACTATGAGATCTTCAGCAATTTCACTCAGAGTTAGATCAGCTTAGTAGGAAACTCTTAGTTTAAATTCTCTTCCTGTAGTAAATTAGAAATGCTTTTTACTTATATAAGTGAAACAGGAGACATTATGAACAGAAACTTAAAACCTACTAACTACTGTGAAAAGAGGTTGAAGATAACACCTTGTGTAATTTTACCATTCTTTATGAGTTAGTATGAAATGTGTAACTTTTCACCTGAGATGGATTTTGTTGCTTAGTGAAGAGATGAGTTGGAAAGATTCTAGTTTGAAATGTTTTAACTGAAATTATCACGATGATTTAGTCCTTTATGGACAGCTATTATAACATCTTAGTGTTAAAATCATATTTGACACATTACCTGGTCCATTCATCTAGGACACAGATTTTTCTTAGCTGTCTGATTTCAGAGGTCATTTTAGTGCTTATACGTTAATAATTAAATTGTTTTTCTTTCATCAAGAAGATAAAGGACTGTGAGAAATACACATGTCAATTTTTACTTTGTTATGCTTTTAGTTCTTTAAGATCATTCACCAAAATTTTTCCTGTACTTATCAATTCCAACTTTGTCAGCAATGTTTATTGTGTTCTTAGTTGGTAGCTAATGGTGGAGATATTTGGTAAATTTCTGCTCTTTACTAACAATAAGTATCTCAGCTACCCTATGATTATGATTGTTTCTCTTGTGAAGGTTTCTGTGTAGATAGAATTTTATTAATAATTTGGTTTTAAATGTCATTTAAAATATCATATTATAGCTTATCCAGTTATATTTCCTTCATTTAATAATTTTTCCTGAAAGAATGTACCACTGGCACTTAGCAGCCATACTTGCTTTTTTGCCTTTTTTTAATGCTAAATTGATAATGAAACTGTCTTTGAAGTGAAATCATTGAGGTAAACCACAGAGAAATAATAGAAAGTAGCCTGTCATTATTGTTATATTTTATCTAGAAAGAAGGTTGGGTCATCATTAACCTGTTCAAAAATATTCCCTAAGTATTCTTTTTTATCACATTTTCACCTAGTTCTTTTCCACCAGAAAGACTCAGTACCTGCTGCATGATTAGAATAATTAAATTTTCTGTAGCATCACTTTTACAGTCTCTGTTTGTAAGGTTATTAGTCTGTAATAATGATTCTTGAGTATACTTTAAACTGTGGGTTCAGATACTGTTTCTGTCTTTCCTGTGCCATTTCAGAGCAGTAAAATGCTCAGTCTTTGATGAGGATGGACTATCTGAGTGCAGATCCTGGCATTGGTCATCTGAGTTTATAAATAAAGTTTCTTATCAATGGAGGCCTTGTAAAAGGATTGCCTTGACACAAATAATTTATGAATTATAACATTAAATGAAACATTTTCACATAGATTTTTTGCACATAGATAGTTCATGGGGACATAGAAAAAGTCTTATTTGCCTAGTCCTCAGTAATTCACTGGGTAATAGCAGAAATCCTATATTTCTGGTGACTGTGTATCTCATTATAAACATTTGCCTGTTAGAATATAGTTTTATAATGCTATTAACATTTGCCTGTTGGCAAATCTGATTTTTATATGAACTCTCCACATTTATTATTTTTGAGTGCCATTTTGGCATTTTCTGTGATATTTGCGATGAAAGTATTATTGAATTTAGTGCACTCTAGATGTGTTCTTTGTAGTTTGTTTTTGTTAATGAGTAAGGTTACTCCAAATCTGGGTATTAAAGATTTTTTATTTACATCTTTTTTGTGGCTGGATACACTTAAGTATCTGGAGTACATGCCTACATTATTTTGGGAATATTTCTTCATGAAAATAAATTCAAACTCAGTATTCATTGATTTTTCAAGAAGATGGGCAAGCTTCCTTTGTAACATACTTGCCCCCATTGTGCTTCTGGCAATACAGCAGAAATGACAACATATTTCAGGGATTAAAGAAAAAAATTGGAGTATACCAACAGTTTGTATTAAATTTTCTTTTCTTCTTAAGCCAATTTATATGCAGAATAAGGCAAAAGATCTTAAATAGCGTTTGGTAGCAGTTTGTGAAGTATCAAACATGAACCTTGATTTTAATAATATTTTTTGAACTTCAGACACAGAGAATAGATGTCATAACCAGTGAATTGTACAGGTTTTAATCTAGTTACATAAAGACAAGATGAAGATTTTGGAACAGGAAGTTTGTACAATAATTTTAACTTTTATCAAGTGGTCAGGTTCTTCTGTAGCTGCAGTAAAGTTTTTGATAATGGGCACTGAATAAAGGTCATGTAACCTGAGAAGAATAAGAGTTTATATTGCCAGATGTTAGAAAGCTGCAGTATTTTGATCTATAGGATGAGTACAATGGTTGCACCTCATTATTGCAGCCATAGTTGGTGAATGAAGTTATAGAGGTAAAGAAGCTATTAGGAACTAGTGGGGAGAAACTATAATAAGCATTTGAACATTGTTTATTCTCATGCCTTAGTATACTTTCATTAATTGCTTTGCTCTCAATTCGAGGGAAGGTAACAAGAGCTTATTATAATCAGATGAACTCAATACATAATCCTAGACAGACCTCATTTAGGAGACACCCTCTCAGTTTCCTAGTTTTGTGGGGACAGCCTTAAGCTTTTGTAATATACCCAGTTTTCACTGTTGGTCATAGCTCTTCCTAAGTAAGTATGTATATTTGTCAAACTACTTAGTCACTGGGGCTTCTCCTTAGGAATATGCAAAGGGTATTCTGTGTAAAAATTTAGGATAATTTATTGTTTCCAGTGTATTCTGGGCAAATGTACTTGAATATCTAATATGAAAGATCAGTAGGAATTAGAAATTAGGTAAGGATGTCCCAATGAAACAAAATTCTGAAATACAATACGTAGTAGTATATATGCTTTTTTTTTTCTAAGTCTGGTTGTGTAGTCAGGATAGGCTATGAAATAACAAGTTAGTTCTGAAACTCAGTAGTTTTAGGGGTGAGAAATGGTCCAAACAATGTATGCACATGTGAATAAATAAAGTTTTTAAAAAGACTTATATATTGCTCACATGGCCAAATATACTTCACTTAGCGATTTAGGATTTTAGGTTTCACTCACGTATTTCAGAGTAGCCAGTGTTTATTCTAAGAGGGGAAAAGAAAAACTAGAGAATTATGCATGATCTTCTCACTGTTGCATCCCATAAGAGACTTCTGAGTTTTGTTGATTTACTTACACAAGTAAGTGTAAAGAAACTAGGAATTGTAGTCTTCTGTATATACAAGAAGAAAATGTGACACAGAAATTGTTATTTATTAACATTGTCTGTGGCATACTTGGTTCCTTAGCTAGTAGATTTAGTGAGTTGCAATGGTTCTTTTTAGTGATGAGAATTACAGGTCTTTGTTGTAAAAGTATATGAGGAACATCAGGGATGTAGTAGAGCAGTAGTCTTAAGCCTGGCTCTTAATAACTGGTGATGTACCATCTTCTATCTGCCCATAACTGACCATATTGCATAAGTGTACCCCATTAGGAAGCTACAAACAAAGTATGGGAACTCAGAGTTGGTTATTGTTGTTGGGGCAGTTGGGTCATCTTAGTTTTGAACTTTTTTAAGTCATTAAGAATGACTTGATGTGGTTCCAGTTATTAGTGAGATTGAGTGGACATATTCTGTTTCCCTTACTCAGTAAAAGAACAAAACAATGTAAAATGCTTACATGCACAGAAACCATGAAGCAGGTATTTGTGAACTCTGAAAAGTACATAGTAGTAGGTTGATGCTGTAAGAAAAGCAGAATTAATAGTATCTTTGAGCTGGTGGTGAACTCACTATATATTTTTCCCCTTTACTCTCCCCAGAGTGAACTAAATGCTCGGGAATCATGGAATTGAGCACTGGGATGCAGTGCATGTAAGAGAGCCCCAAGAGAAGCCCTGTAGGTGTAATGTAGACTTGCCTTGTTAATTATTTTTTTGTTGTCCTATCTTCCATGCAGTCTCATCATCATGGAGGCAGAAGCACAAATGGAGCGAAAACTGTAGGAGCCAAAACTGAAGGAGGGATAATCTTCCCTTGGATCAGTGAGATAGTGCTGCAAGTGGTTGAAACAAACACTTGTGAGTTTTTTGATCTCTCTGTCTTCCTGCTGGTAGCTGTAATATAGGTAGAATTATAGAAGTACCTGTATAGTGGGGAAACAAATGCCATAGCTTTTTGATAGAAAAAGTGATAAGAGCCCCAGGACCAGAAAGTATAAGGGAGAATCTGTGAAGGCAAGAATTGAGAAAGTAATCCTGTACATTTTTTTGTACCTTGTTTTCTGTGCTGTACATACATGGACTCTAGCTACATCTGGAGTACTAGCTAGTGATAGAAGGTAAGAAAACACACAATACAAGTTCTAGAGATTGCCAAGAAAAAATATAACTGTCAAGTTTTTTAAAACATGTTTTTTTATGTACAGATTCTTAAAGAATTGACATGCATGTGTAATTCTAGTTTTTGTAAGTATGGTTTGCAAGGTTATAAGAGTTACAAGGTTCTCAGACAAAAATATGTTTGTCTATATGACACCAAATTTAAAAATGCTTTGAAAGTGGTTTGAAAATGCTATCTGTTTATTAATTTAATAGAACATGGATATGATGTATATTTTGATAACTACAAAATGCTGATGAAAGACATAAAAAAATCTGTGTAAATGGGGAGCTTTATCAAGTTCTTGGATAGGAAGACTTGGTATATTAAAGATGATATATTGACAGAAAAATTTAATATCGTTTCAGTCAAAGTCCTTGAATATGTTCAGTGGTATGAAAAAGATGATTCTAAAATTAATATAGAAAGACAAAATATCCAGGATAGCTGCAACTATTTTGAGAAAAAATAAAGTTGTAGTAATTACTCTTCCTAGCTTTAAGACTTACTGGAAGGCCATAGTAATGAAGACATTGTGGTACTAGCATGTGTATTAATGGGTCAAATCGAGTCCAGATATAGTCCAACACATTTATGGATAAAAGGTACTTCAATGGAAAAAGAATTGTCATATGCCAGTGAATGAGGCTGTTCCTGAAACCACATACCTCACATAAAAATTAACTTGAAAATTAAACCTAAATATTAAAAAATGCAACTGTAAAACTTTTAGAGGAAACATAGGAAAAGACTTTTGTAACGTTTGCTAGGCAAAACTTTCTTGGACATGACACCAAAAGTGTGATTCATAAAAAAAAATTGCTAAGTTGGTAAAACAGTATTACAGCTTGAAAAACATGTAACAAAAAGATATGATACAGATGAGAAAAAGACAATAGCAAACATTTTATTGACAAAGGGTTTAAATCAAGAGTATGTAAAGGTGTCTCAACCTTCAACAGTAACAGAACAAACTATGCTTTATTAAAACAAAAATTTTAAATGGATAACTTAACAAAGAAAGTGTCAGAATGGCTCAAGGAAAGATGTTAAACATACATAAATATATATTTATATTTTAAATACATATTTTAAAATATATATTAAAAACATTGTCAGATAACACAGTAAACCTAGTTGAAGGACTAAAATAAAAATTATTTATGGTGGCACTTCCTAGCTTGCTTACTGGTGCCATGCAGGGAAATATCTCAGTAGAGGTCTTATAGTCAAATCTCTTGGTGAAAGAACAGAAAACCCTTCATTTTATGTCTCCGATCCCCAAACATTTCCCCTCCACTAGCTAACTCCAAAAATTAATTTGAAACTGGTTGTAACTGGTACTGAGATTCATGAACACAAATACACTTGAGTGGGAAGTTCAAGCTGGTGGAAGAAGGAAGATGTGGGTGAACACATCTGTGGATCTGCAGCCAAATTCTGGGAAGAGGAGAGAGAATAGCAGGGGTGCCAGGACACAAAGGATTAATCAGAACCCTGTCCTTTGCCCAGCCAGGGCAAACTGCTTTGGCCTGTTTGCTTTGTATCTCTCTGAGGATCGGAGAGATTGGTAGAAAGAAGCTACTGCTTAGGAATTTTCTACACCAAACCTGTACAGGCAGAGCACCTTTAGTGCTCCCACTCCTTCAACTGGGTGTTTCTCTGATCAAGGAAGGGCAGCTCCTGGGCTCACTGCATTAGTAAGTCTGCAAATGGTAAAACACTTATAGAAATTCAAGCCAGCAAGTAAGACATAATTACTCAGCTTGCAGACAACCCTTTCTGGTCTAATCTGTTTGGACTTTAGTGACAAAAATTGCAAAAGAAAAGCCTGAGGTAAGCCTAGAAGAAATCCATCATCTTCTCCTCTGTAAAGAAGAAGTATAGACTGGTGCAGGTTTTGTTTTCTTGTTTTTTTTTTCTTTCTCTATACATATTTTATTGTATTCTTTATCACTGTTAGTTTCTTTTTTACTGTGATTTTTATTAGCATATATTAACAGTGTTATGAGGTTTCATTGTGCTAATTCCATGGATGTGTATAGTGTTCTTCAAAAAAGTTCACCCCTCCATTATATTTGGTTAGAGCCCCTCCCTCCTATATCAAACAGCGTTTGTTAGTTTTCATTATTCTATCTATCTCTGTATCTCTCTATATATATTCTTTGCACCCCCATATCCTTTCCATCCATACCAGACAGTCCTTGCTTTACACTCATGTGTCATCATTATCGTCATGATCATTTTGGTTGTAGATTCCATATATGAGCAAGAACATGCACTATTGGCCATTTGAGCTGGGCTTACCTCATTCAACAGGATGATCTCCATCCATTTTCCTGTAAATGACAATTTCATTCTTCTTTTACTGGAGGCCAGGCAGTCCCAGAGTGTGAACCTAGGGCTTCTTGCTTGTTGGACAGGCACTCTACTGCCATGCCTCTGGTTCTCGTGTCCTGCACGAGCTTCTCCTATAAACTTTAACTGGGGGCAATGGGAGATGCTGAAAAGACAACAGACAGAAGACCAAATATGGATAAAGCTGGGACCAGGTAGGCTGGGCACTCAGATGGAGACACACCAGCCCCCTCCACCTCTAGTGAGTTTATTATATACAGTCACAACACGAGGTGGAGAAGCATTTCTTGAGGGAGGGGATGTGACATTGTAATCCTTGGGAACAGAAGGAACCTGTGACAGCTTCTCTCTGAATGTAAACATCTTAGGAAAAAGCAGTTGTACTGCATCTTGTCCACTTCTACAGCTGAAGCTGTGCCAACTCAAGCATGAAATTTGTTGGGCATAGCTATGCTTGTTCCCTCTGCAGTTTGGGGCTGTGCCAAACTCAAACATGCACTTATTTGATACACCTGTCAGCTCTCTACATATGGTTATTTTGGAGATAGGATTTCACTTTTTTCCCAGGTTGACCTGGACTTCAATCCTATTTTGCAGTTCCCACCATATCTGGTATGATCAACACATGCCACCATACTCATCTTTTTTTCTGTTAAGTTGAGGTCTTGCAAACTCTTTTGCCCAGGATGACCTCAAACCATGATGCTCCTAATTTCATCTTCCCAATTACCTAGGATTACAGGTGTGAACCACCAGTACCTGGCTGACTTCTTTATGGTTGAATAATACTCCATTGTGTATATATACCACACTTTTTTGTCTGTTGGTTTCTTGGTATGCACCTGAGCTTATTCCACAGTTTGCTTGTTGTGACTAGTGCTGCTATAAACATAGTTGTGCATGCATCTCTCTTGTATGTTGATGTACATTCCTGTGGATATATGCCCAAGAGTGACATATAGGGTCAAAGGTAGGTCTGTGTTTAGTTTTTCTGATGAACCTCCATACTGATTTCCATTGTGGTTCACTAGTTTCCATTACCATTAATAGTGTATAAAGGTTACTTTTTTCCTGTATCCTCACCATTATTTGTTGTTTTTTGTTTTCTTGGTGATTGCTATTCTGACTGAGGTAAGATGGGATTTCAATATATTTTTGATTTGCATTTCCTTTCTGTCTAAGAATTTTTAACATTCCTTCATGTATTTATTATCTATTTTTACTTCTGAGAACTATTCAATAGATTTGATTTGAGCTCTTTGTTCTTGATATTAATCCTTTATATGTTCATAACTGGTAAAGATTCTCTTCCATTCTGTGGCTTTTCTGTTATTCTGGTATTAGAGACCAAGTCAGAAAATAATTACCTATGCCTATATCTTCCATTGTTTTTTTCTGTCATGGTTTCAATGTTTGTCTGTGCGAGAATAATATAGAAATCTTAAATTGACTGAAACTACCATAAGAAAGGGACAAAGGTAGAATGAAGAAAATTAGAGGAGATAAGCCAGTTGGGGTTATAATACATATATACATGGAAATATCACAAGGAAACTCCCTATGTAACTACCTTTATCTCAAACAAACTAAAATGTCATGGTTTTTGTTTTACCTTTTCTCTTTTTTCTTCTATAAAATCAGAGAACAGGAAATAAGGTGCAAAAACCTGTGCATACATGTATGAAAATACAAAAATGATACCCATTGAAACTACACCAGGAATCAAGGAAGGGAGGGATGGAGGAGTATGGTAAAGGAGGTCAATTCATGGGTGATATATTTGATACATTGTAAGAACCTGTATAAATACCACAGTGTAGCCCCACCCATCCCAATAATAAAGGAAGAAAAGAAGATCTTTGATTCATTTTTAAAATATTTTTTACAGGGTGAGAGATTGTCATGTAGTTTCAGGCTTCTATGTAGATAACTAGTTTTCTCACCATCATTTGTTGAAAAGGTGATATTTTTGTGAACGTATGTTTTTGGCTCCTTTGTCAAAGCATCAGATGGCTGTAGCTATGTGGGCTTATTTTGGATCTGTTCTATTGGTCTTTATGTCTGTTTTTTTTCCAGGATTATGCTGTTTTTGTTACTATGGGTCTGTTGTATAATAAAATCGAATATTGTGAAACTTCCAACATTACTCTTTTTATTCCAGATTACATTTGCTATTCAGGGTCTTTCATGTTTCCATTTAAAGTTTAGGATTGATTTTTCTATTTCTGTGAAGAATGACATTGGAATTTGGATAAGAATTGCACTGAACCTGTAAATTGCTTTAAATCATATAGCCATTTTCTAGTATTAATTCTTCCAATCCATGAACATGGCCGTCTTT